GCTGTTGGATCAAGATACTGGAAGTACACAGTTGATGGAACCAACATCTTCCTCATCAACCTGATGGTAGTTGTTATCTTTGTCATCTTTGACTGGCTTGTGATTGAGGGTGTTTTCCATGTCGAGGGCTTCATCACGTCTCCCGCCTTTCTCTTCTGCGCCGGCCTCCTCTCTATCATTCCTCTTGCCTACTTTATCGGCCAAGCTGTTGCTTCTATTTCGGCACAGTCGTCAATGGGTGTGGGCGCTGCCATCAATGCCTTCTTCGCAACTGTTGTGGAAGTGTTCCTTTACTGTGTTGCTCTTAGCCAGGGCAAAGGTCAACTCGTCGAGGGCAGTATCGTCGGCAGTATTTTCGCCGGTATCCTATTCTTGCCTGGAATTTCCATGTGCTTTGGTGCTATCAAACGAAAGACGCAGCGCTTCAATGCGCGGTCTGCGGGTGTAACATCCACAATGTTGCTCTTCGCAATTGTCGGAGCTTTTGGTCCAACCCTGTTTTACCAGATTTACGGAACCCACGAGCTCAACTGTATGGACTGTGAAGACTACAACACTGGTGAGAACAGTAGGGACTGCCGCCGTTGCTACTTCAGCCAGTCTCCTTCGCTTAACGACAGATTTTATCTGGAGGCGGTGCGTCCTTACTGCTACATGGCAGCGACCACGCTGTTCTTCTCGTACCTGATCGGTTTATGGTTCACTCTTCGAACGCATGCTGCCGTCATTTGGAACGCCGAGGTTGATGAGAAGCGACACGAAGACCACATGCATTCTTCGAGCCTCCGAACTTCTCAAGTTCACGGCCATGCCCATGCCCACACTCACAATCCGACAACTGCTGAGACCAGTGGTGCCGATGTTCGTGACTCTCAACTTTACAAGCGCATTCTGGGTCAGTCTCTGAAGCAATCTGGGTTTGGAGAAGAACTCTCCCGCCCAAACTCTACCACTGGGCAGTCGGCTGGCGCCAACGGCTCAGCTTCTACCCTTCATGTCGTGCCCCCCAAGTCTAGTGGTGGCGAGCCATCGCACTCCGCTCTTCATGTCCCAGGCCTCAGCGATGCCGACAACAAGATGCTTGTGCGTGAGGTCGCCGAGATTGCCGCCACAGCTGCTACCATTGCTTCGCGTGAACGAATGACAAGAAAGCCTTCAGCTATGCCCGCTAATCACGGAGCAGGCGCTCGTCCTACGCCGAGCCGTCAGCATACCCATGGCGATGTTGCTGAGACTGAGGGACCTGCCACTGAGGCTCACCAAGCACATGGCGGGCATGATGCCCCCAACTGGAGTCGCGCCAAGAGTTCCATCATCCTTCTTGGGGCAACTGTTCTGTATGCGATCATTGCCGAAATCCTAGTTGACACTGTAGATGTTGTCTTGGAAAGCTTCGCGATTGATCAAAAGTTCCTCGGTATCACCTTGTTTGCTCTTGTGCCCAACACAACTGAATTTCTGGTAAGGATGCCTCTCGATTGCCTCGAATTAATATGCTAACCACACATAGAACGCCATCTCCTTCGCCATGAACGGAAATATTGCGCTGTCCATGGAGATTGGTTCAGCTTACGCTCTGCAAGTGTGCCTTCTTCAAATTCCTGCCCTCGTGTTCTACTCGGCCTTCTGGCCTGGAGTGCCTGAAGGTGGTGATCCGGCACTATACACCTTCTCACTCCTGTTCCCCCAATGGGACCTTGTCATGACCGTTCTCTGCGTGTTCTTACTGAGTTATATGTATGGTGAAGGAAAGAGTAACTACTTCAAGGGAAGCATTCTCATGTTGACCTACTTGGTTGTCATCATCGGCTACTACTTTAGTGGCTATTCGTCTGATGCTATGGGCATGCAGCGTTTTGATGTCATGGGAGCCGATGGAAACTACCAGAACTACAAGACGATCGGAAGATCGCGAAAGGGGGCGGCGTTTCCAGCTTAATTGTTGATTGATGAGAAAGGGGGTTGAGTTGAAGATTGTCAGAATAATGCATTTACGTGAGTTGTTAATACCGGACATACACTACATCATACATATAACATTGGGGGAGTCTGTTGCATGAGAACCTGTATTATATATCGGGTTTACATTATTGAGAGGGATGGCTGTTTTTGTACGGATTCACGACCTATCAGCATTGGAGTGGTTATAATGATACTTTGTTGAGAGGTCAATCATTTCAAGGTGTTAATCATCATTCATTGCCTCAATGTTACAAGATAGCTCTTAGGGCCTTGCAGGCATGTGTTTCAAGAGTCTGCTTAAGTATCATAAAATGAGTCACTGTTTTCACCTCTCATGCTTTCAGCCAAGTTTATTAATGTCCCAAGGACAAATATGTGTGATTGTTATGGACAAAGGCCTCTAATGAGAACCAGATGCTAAAGTATAGTATGTACAGAGAATGTGTAGAGATGCCAATCCCAACTCAGGCAAGCCAAGTCGACAACATCTAAGCCATGCCGAAACCAGCGGAGGTCATGACGCTCTTGGCGCTGTTGTAGTCAGAGGCAGAAGCAATGGTCTTGCCCTTGAAGTTGTTAAGGAAACCAGTGCTGGTACCGCCGAGAGCTCCAGAGCTGCCAAAGCCGTTGACCTGGCAGTTTCGGCCGAGAGCAGCAGCACAAGCACTGCCACCGTTGGGAACACCGAAAAGTTGGCCCTGGATACCCTTGGAGTTGACGGGGTACTTGACATTCTGGAAGATGTTACCCTCAACGAGAGCAGAACCGGAGTCAATCTCGAAAGCGTGGTCAGGGACATCGTGGAAGAAGTTGTTGACGGCGTGGAGGAGAGTGTTACCGGCGACCTTGGGGCCACGGCCAGAGACACGGTAAACGTAGTTGTTCTTGAAGGTGACCAGGTCGTTGGAGCCGGCAAAGTAGAGACCCCAGTAGTGGTAGGTGTTGCAGCTGGCGGACCAGTTGGTGGTGCCGTCGATCTTGCTGTTGGAGATGGTGACACGGTTGCAGGCCTTGTTACCGAGGACAATGTGCTGACGGCCGATGAGAGAGGTGGTAACGTGGTCGATCCAGACGTTGTCGGTGTCGTCAAGAGTGATGGCATCACCACCCCAGACGAGCTGAGGGTTAAGCTCAGTGATGTGAACGTTCTGGATGATGACGTTCTTGGCTCCGACAATGCGGAGACCCTTTCCACGGATGACACCCTTGCTGCCAACACCGATCAGGGACTTGTTGGAGCCAACCGTAATGCCCAGAACACCGGCCTTGTCGTACTTGACGTTGACCTTGGGGGCGTTGGGCTGGTAGTTGGTGCACCAGCCGTTCTGGTTGATGGCGAGCTGGCACTGGGAGCCGGTTCCCCAAGGAGCGCAGCCAGTCTCTGAGGCGGTGCCCTCGGTGCCGATGAAGTTGATGGTGCGGTCAAGCATAATACGGCGAGGCTGAGAGTCGCCGAGGTAGCTGATGAGCTCCTGGGCGTTCTTGGGGTAGACGGCGGCGGCACTGCCACCACCGGTTGTGCTGGAAGCAAAACCCTCGGCCTTGGTAGGGAGAGCGGCAAAGGCCGAAGGAAGGAGAGCGGCGACCGCGAAGAGGGTCTTGAAGAGAGAAGGCATCTTGAAGTTGTGACTAAAGTAGGAGTATGTGTGTATGTAATAGAATAGAGAACCAGAGACCCAGCTACTGGTATATATATATAAGAAAGAGAGGATGGATAGATAGAACAAGACAAGTCGAAAGAGGGAGGATATTGTGAGGCTCATATAAACATCTCCGTGTAAGCTAGACGAGACTATCTGACTGACTATTTGCACAGCACCGGGACTATGTAGGGGGGTCCCATGCCAAAGGAGGAAGCTATGGACTCATGCAGGATAGCTTCATCCCTTGGCAAACGGCACTTCGGCGTGGAAAGAGATTGATCATTCACTCATCGTAGCCTTATCCGATGTATTCAGAGTGATTCTCGGGCAAAGATACTGAAAAGAGTCACGGACCATTGACGGACGCCGTTACCATATTGGGCAATGCCGGGATTCCTGATTCGTGGGATCTCTTTTGTATCCACGGCCGAATGTTTCGCACGAGTGGGTTATCAGTAGAGAGACGCCCCCTTGCCAATATAAGGGAAATCACTTTCTACTATTTGTAGTTAAAGGTGGATAAGATGCTATTCCTTACCACTTTCTGGAACACAATATCGAAATGATTTTCATGAATATCCGCGTATTCCCATCGGTACATGTTCTCCGAAACCCGATGAGATGGTTTGCTCTACGCCAAGGATCATTCAACATCTGATTAACATGGAGACCAATTCCCCCACCAACTACTATTCTAGTTGTGACATTCTAGCTTGGTCTACCACGTTGCTATCAAGAATTTGTGTGGAGAATCGAGCTGTCAAATGTTACCCATACATACTACCACCATAGCTAATCCATTAGCGGATATAAAGCACTTAAAAACCGGGATATGTAAAATGAACGTCCTTGGCTATTTGCTTACAACTTACCAGGTTTTGGAGTTGAGCCTGTTAGTCTATGTATATACATATAGTGAGGGGAGAGAAGGTTAGAAAATCAGGTGAAAGGGGTAGTCTTCAAAGCGGCACAATACGAGGTGCAGATGATGAGCAGTGACTTACCTTTTAGAGCCTGGCTTGTGATCTGAGCTGCATTCTTAAACATGACTAGACAGCAAGCTAGTTTGGTTTCCATTTTTGGCCTCCGCAGCACTGATACTTTGTTGGAGATCTCTTTGACCAGTTGTTCTTTGTCGCCATAAAAAGAGCCGGCTTTGATTGCGACTGAGTTGGTTGTCTTGATCCAAGATTTGCTTTGTTGTGTGAAACTTTAAGTCATTGTGATAGTTATCAAAGACTACAAGTAGTTAGTAACTATTAGGCATGGATAACTTGTTTAGAATATTCAATAGGTATATAGAGCATTTGTAATAAACTATAACAAGTTCAGTCAAGATTGACAAATTACACAACATAAGAATCAGCATCATACAAACAAAACTTGAACAACAGTATGGCAATCACACGAGACCAAACCAGAAAGACCAACAATCCTTCAGCAAGAGGCATCATCAAGAAAAGCGCCACTAAAACCAAAACTCTCGCTTTAAGACAACGAAAGACACTCGACGGAGAAACTAAATCTCAAAAGTGTTTCCTGCCCTTCCTACCCGCAGAACTTCTAGAGATGATAATCAACCAAGACTGCTTAGAGACCGAAGACCACTGGAATCTCCGCCGCGTATCATCCCGTATATTCCACATGACTGCAAACACCATCTTCAAGGGTGGAGAGTTTCGCATGTTCCGTTACGCCCTCAGACATGCAGACATAGACATTATGAACAGATGCAAAGAGCTGAACCCACCACCAACAGACATCACATGGGCTTACGAGGCCTACAGAATCGAGGTGCTTAAGGGGGATAGTCTCAATCTCCGGGATCCGCCCCCACAATCCGAAGATAGTCTACCCCAGGGCCCAGGCTATTTCCTCCTCGAGGGCTTCAAGTCGAAACATTTCTCGGCGGACCAATACATCAAAGCGGCTGGGTGGCTCATGGATAATGGCTTCAAGGTCTTTAATCCTGCCGAAGAGAGTATTTGGAATGCCGGCTTGAACGGATACTTCATCTCGTACAGGCTGCTCGATGTATTGACAACAGCAAGTAGTAAGAAGGAACAGGACGACATCTGCCGCATCATTGAGTTTCTTCGTGCCAAGGGTTACGAGTTCCTATTGCGCAGTCGTGTTGAAGACACCGGCCATTACAGAACCCCAGCAGAGACGCTTCTCCATGACAACTCTTTCGGAGCGTTTCGTCGCTGCTACGATAGGCCTTCCTTGATGTTGGTCATGATGAAGTCTGGATGTCCACCCTCTGTTCTTGAGCTTTACCTTGAGCAGCTCGAGGAAGATGGCATGTGCCTAAAAGGCCTTGCGACGCGGCGCCACGAGGAGAAACAGAATGGGAACCTACATCGATTCTCCCGTACTGAAGTCGCTCAGCTCATCGACGTCTATCTTGATGAGGTTTTCGGCCTCTGGACCTGGTGGTGGGAAACGCCCGATCAGATGGGCGACACTCTCGAGGCCAAGATAGAGCTGCTGATCCAGTATCAAGGTATCGATGGGGAGGAAGAGAAGTTGCTCAACGACATTCTCACAGCGTTACGTCGAATAGAGGTCAAGATCATGAAGCTAGGGGGTCTCGACTACGAACGCGATGCCTCCTGGTGCTGGACCGAGCTAATCATGTCTGTCACTGATATCAACAGGAAGAGGAATCGTGCGTTGGATCAGTATGATGAGTACATGACCTATTCAAAGCCGTGGAAGTGCTTACACGAGTTCTTCCACACCATCCACTGGTGATGGCACAGCAAGACATATTTGCAAGGCAAAGCACCGATCGTAAATAGAGGTAGCTTTAGAATGCGAGGTAGAGTCGATGAAAAACTGGATTTTTGCAAGCGAAAAAGATAGATGGGATACAGGTTAAGGAGCGGACCGACAGAGCTGCCCTAACAACTCGAGTTAAATAAGGTAGTAAACAAAGATTTTGAACTCGAAAAAATTGTCGTTTTTGACACATCAGCTCGCATTGTTCCATTAGTCAAAAGCCATCTGTCATTGTACCGGAAATTGCATATAGATCAATGCATTACCTTGCTATACTAAACAACCATGTTCACGTGTTGGAATTGATATGCTTTCAGGCCCTCTGCTTCGACATCTGGGAAGCCTTGAAATACCAATGCCATGGTCGTGAGGAGTGAACATATAGATATTGGTCAAAATTAAGTAGCAAGTAGAGCTGGAGTGTGGCAATGCAACTTGCAGAACCAATCATCCACAGCATACACCATAACCTAGGATCAGGCGGCAGACATAAGCTCAGGTATATCTTTCCAGCACATTGAGTCTGAAGTAGGTTGTCGAAAAGAACGGATACTTGTGTTGGGCATGCTGTCTAAACATAGACCAGAACAACGAGAAGCACGGGAATCTTCCTTTCTTATCTACCCATGTTCAGACCTGAGCTGTGAAAGTATTGGTCCGAGACACGCACGTACCAGACGAACACAAGACTAAGCAGCAGAAGACCTTTGTTGAGGTTGGTCGTGAGCAATCCAGAGCCAACTGAACAATAGTTATTGTCCAAATACCACAACTCCATGTAAGCAGTCTCCATCAGTATAAAAAAGCCTTACTGAGAGTCCTCTGGTAACTCAACAGAATTCGAGCCAAAACAACTCTCACGCCAAAAAAACAACTTACATCGCAACGACTCACATCGTAACAGCACACCAAACAGAATAACACCACAACAACCGACGTCATGTCTCTCCAACAGTCTAACAACCAGTCTCGTCCTGTGCAGACTAGCATGCTGGCCATGCTTCTCACAGAGACCATATTGAACATCATTGGCGCAATCAACGACAACCCCGACGGTTACCAGACAGCAGAAAGCCTCGATCATCTAAGCCAGACATGTTCTCACCTGTACGACCTCGCCCGACCTTTTTTCTTCCGTGCTAACGATTTCAAACAGTTCTACCTGTCTGTCCATGTGGCCAATATCGCCATGATGGATCGCTGCGAGTATTACAACGCAGCGCCCATCGACACAATGTGGCGTTACCTTCCTCTGAGTCCGTTGCAAGCTCCTCGGCTGCAGACAACTGTGGACCTTCTCCTGAGTGGCGTGGACGAGGACATTGGCTCCTCGGAAGATGAGCACCAACCGAGAATTCGCGATAAGAAGCGTTACAAGATCTTCAACGCTCTAGAATGGCTTCTCAAGAGAGGCGCCAATGGCGAAACCGCCAAATGGGTCGGACTCAACACCGGGCGTGACAAAGTCATGAAGCCGCTCGGCCACATGAGTACGAATCTGCTGGATCAGATGCAACGAGGTATCAGCAAGCGCGCCATGGAAGTCATCTTCAGTATGATCAAGTTGTTGAGCAGCCACGGGTTTCCTAACCCAACTCGCGCTGACACATTCTTTCTCTTTGGGTCTCTGGTAGATAAATTACGGTGGCACGGCGATAACCCGCGTGACTACTTTCTCATGTCACCACTGAATACAGCGCTCAAGTCCCATGTGATTCCTTCTGTTCTGGAACTCATGTTGAGCGAGCATGCTGATCGGGGCATCAAGCTGAGGGATTGGTACGACGAGTGTCCAGCCAGCCTTGCCAGGCTTGCAACACGAGAGTATCTCTCAGGTATATCGTCGATCCAATGGAGCGAATTCACCTCCATCGACAAGCTCATGGACATCCTCCACGCTGATCTGCACAAAGAATACACTAGGTGGGAAGAAAACTACTTTGGTGAGGTCGCAGACATTTTCAAGGTCAAGCTCAAGCTGATGATCGAGTACGAAATGATCGACGCCTCAGAGGAGGCTCTTCTCAAAAGCATCGAAGCAGCTCTCTACTCCATCGCTGCAGATGGCATGCAGGCAGGTCATTATGACAAAGAGTACTTCAAAACGTCTTGGGAGAAACTCGGCGACGCTGTAAGGCCATTCGCTACCGATGTCAACCTGGTAGTGGATCCTGAGACGCAGCTTATAAGCAGTATACACCGCGTCCACAGATTCTACGTTCACCCGGAGTGGAATCCGTGGGAGTCGTGGTTCCGGCGACAAGACAGAACTCGACATGAACGATGGCTGTCTGGAGACCTAGAAGAGGGAGAGGTGCGCCCTAGGCACAACCTATTCGGTCATTCCATGGAGTATGGCCGTGCCGCTAGTCTTGGGGTTCCAGAGTGGCACACGGTCAGTATGGACGAGTGGTACGCTTCCTTCCCGCGCTCTGGATAAGTTCAAGTGACTTGTCTGGGTATGTAGGAGGTAGGTAGTCAGTCGTATGTATGAGTATTCGCCGTTCAGGGAATGGGTTGGTATTTCCAAGCGCTGGTCGCTTGAGGGTATTGGATTGGTCTTTTTAGTATATGGGAAATTGACTTTTGATTTGATCAGATGATTTATTGAAGCCATGATGATATTGAAGTTTCGAGATTTAGTGAATGTGTAGAAGTAAGGTTTGTACTAACTAAAAGCAGGTCCCTCATTGTCGATAAACATTCGAGAGCAGTCGAGTCAAAATAGATCGAATGAATAATCGGTATTTTGCAGGCATGATCTGCTCGCTTATTTTAGCAGGCTTGAGCCACTATAATCACCGTCCGCTTACGGGAGGGCGGGAACCAAATAAGAGGCCTAGTGAAGATTAATGACAGAGGACTAAGGCAGAGAGAATGAGGGGTTCTTCCATGCTGCCCTTGATATGGAACTCTCTAGCTTTCTCGCTCTTAATAGTTAGTTCGACATCTTATTTTGGGTGATCAAAGATAAACTCGGCCTCCTCACAATCCGTTCCTTTTATTTATTTATTTATTTTTCTTACTCCATTAATCAAGCAAAGAGGGGGAATGAATAGATCAACCTCCACTCTTTCAACATCACCAAACATCCTCAGTACAAAGAGAGAGAAAGAGCCTAACTATTAACTGCGCCGTACCAACCAACTCTACTACAACCACGTAACGGTAACTTGGCTGTTGGGTCACGGATGGATGGATGGATGGATATCAACCATGACGAACCAACAAGACACCCCCACAGCTCTAACTCCTACTGCGTCCACTCCTCGTACTTCTCTTGTTCCCCCCGCTCAGCCTGATTCAACTTCAGCTTCAGTCCCAGCTTCCGCTTCCACTTCCGCTTCTGCTTCTCCATCTTCCCCCACGCCTCAAGCTGAACTCATCCCCGCAGAGGACCCCGGAGTATGTCATACCTTGCCCACAACCACCAACCAACCAACAAGCACAGAATTTGTAGAGTCCATTTTGTTTTATTCATAATTGCCTTTGATATGTTTATTTGTTAACACTTTGTCTTTTTTCGTATTTTGTAGGATAACGTCGATCATGATAACTTTGACATTGACTCGGCCCTTGGGTCAGACGCGTGAGTTCTTTGCTATTCCGCTTCATATACATATACTCATCGTCTGTCTTCAGTGCCAGTTTTCTATATCCCGAATCAATAGCAGCAAGTATCCTCGAATATAGAACCATCCAAGGCCGTACCTATCACAGTGACCGGCATGATGCCGATTACTATGCTCCCAATGACGAGCAGCAGCTCCAATCTGTCGATATCACCCATCACTACCTCACCATCCTACTCGACAACAAGCTCTTTTTAGCTCCCATATCACCTCACGTCCAGACAGTTCTAGACGTCGGTACAGGATCCGGCATATGGGCAATGCAAGTCTCCCATCCCGTCTCTTTCATCTACTAACCAGTTATTCCAGAGATTTCGCAGACGCACATCCCAGTGCCCAAGTCGTCGGCTCGGACCTCTCGCCCTGCCAGCCAGAATGGGTCCCTCCAAACGTACGCTTCGAGATCGCAGATGCCTCTCTCGAGTGGCCCTGGAAAGATGACTACTTCGATTTTGTCCACGTACGCTACCTGTTTGGCTCCATTCGAGACTGGCCAGCACTCTTCCGCGAAGCATACCGTTGTTGCGCGCCTGGAGGATGGGTTCAATCATGCGAAGCCGACATCCATTTCTACTCCGACGACGGGACAACCGACAACGAACCCGCCCTCAAGACGTGGAATGATCTGTACGAGAGCGGTGGACTCGAGACAGGAAGACCATTCTTTCTCCAGAGAGAGGCAATACAAGAGCGGAGTATCACAGAGGCTGGCTTCACCGACGTCAGAATATTTGACTATAAAGTAAGTACGACATCGCGCCGTTCTAGGCAGCGCTAATTCCAACAACAGCTACCTGTTGGCGGCTGGCCAAATAATCGCAAACTCGCCGAGACGGGCGAGTATGTCAGGTTGACCATGGAGAATGATCTTGAGGGTATGTTTCCATCACTTGAGGTCCTTCCTTGCTTGCAGATTCTGACGAGCCTTGAACAACAGGGTACACATTTTACACTTGGCATCATGTCCTCAACTGGTCCCGGGAAGAGTACACGCAGTTCGTTGCTTCGATGCTCAAAGCGCTGTCTAACCGCAGATTGCATGGGTATATGATGGTGCGATACGTATATGGTCGGAAGCCATAGATGGATAGCAATAAGCGTTGGCGACATCGAATACAAATAATAAATCTGAATGTCTGGGATAATCGTGTATCGCATCGCAAGGCTTTGGACCGCGGTCGATCGAGTAGGACGACTGTCGGGTTCTATTCTTTGGATCAAGGGATCGAGGCGCATCGGAGTCCATCTTCAAGATTATCACTATCAACGATGAGCTTCGCCGACATACATCAGCCTCTGCCACATACCGTGCATGATGTATCGCACGACCCGTACCTCGACGGACGTCAAGATTCTCATATCACTCGGCAATCAGAGTTATTAGGAGTAGCTTCTTCCTCACAACCAGGGCAAGCCCCAGACAGTAATGAAAAAGAGAAAAAAGAAACACGCCTGTCAGACGTCCATCAACACCCACCCTGAACGCGCGCCCGAAGGCAAGACCGCAGCCAGGGTCGAGATCATCAAGAGGGAAAACAACTCTCTATACAGCAGGAGCCTAAAAGGCAACTACCGCCATCCTTGCGGACAGATCGAGAGGACCAAAAGGTATTCACTCTAGGGTGTCGAGGATATACACTCATCAACCAGGGTGGGATCTGTGGCTCTTTTAGGGAACCAAGAGAAGGTCGAATACTATAGAAATGATTCTCTGAAGTATTGTCGACATGAAGAAGAAAAGAAAAAAATTCTAAAAGCTCGGAGGGAAGCTCTATATTTATAGGCAGTATGTGGGGCTTCCAATCACTCTCAGCTCACCGCCTAAAAGTTGGGCGGCAGAATAATTTGGAGCCGCACCGTGGGAAAAAATGAAATAGTGGGGCTTTCGCATTTTGGCAGGTGCGCTTGGGCAAAGGCGCCGAGAAGAGCGACTCCACTATCAACGACTTCATCCAAGCAGCGTCAGAAGAAATCCTTTCACTGTGGATTGTGTAACCTCTTTTTTTCTTCACTGACCATTTTGCTTCACTTTCGCAGTGGGCCATTGGCTAGCGGTCTGCTTTGCGCCGAGATTACATGCCAAGTGCCGGAGCAAAATGTAACTACACGAATCGTTTGCTCCGAATCATGAGTAAAGGCTCCGAGCTAGATTGTCGAGACTGTTATTGAGATGTGGCTGGTGACGGATGTCGGGTGTTCTCTATAGAAGAGTTGTGCACGGTATTACTCTGTCATGCATGTGTCATGATGCTGAATGTGCACTTTGCTACTTGCATGAGGTGTCATGATGTGTATCCTGCCAATGGCCAGTCTCACATATCGTATGACGCTTTCATTGACTACGTTCTCAATCGTTCTAAACGTAAGATTACCGGGCTTGAGTTTGAAACTTAGTATCTTCTAGTGTTAAATCACTGCTCTGAAATTATTCAGTCTTCTTGTCCTGGAAAACTCTGTGATGCTGTTAAGCACAATCCTAATGGTCCTACCCTGCAGTAGACAGTGCCATCTACCATTGCCTCATTTGACAATCAAATACTTCGGCATGATCAGAAGATGTGAACCATGATTTCTAGACAGGTTATCTTAAATGCAATATATCCTAATCGATCAAAGAGCTGCCGCTTTCGAATTGCAGAAACATCACCAAATATTCAAGACTAAAGACTGGCTTCCCTCTCTCTGTACAAAGCCTCCCTCTCAATCCATCCTCGAACCTCACCCCCAACCAACCCATCGAGACTCCCCTGTCCACTCTTAATGATATCTCTCACCCGCGAACTACTGACATCTTCATCTCCCTCTCGTCCCTCAACCATCTCAACTCTGTCAACCCAAGTCTCATCACCTCCAACATCTTCCACTCTCTCTTTGGTCAACCATGCCCTCTGCTCCTTGACCCCTCCCCACGTCTCATCTGGCCTCGTAGTGACTCTCACCTTGCAGCTCTCAAAAAACGGACGCAGTGCGTTCTGGATTCCCTCATTGTAGTATTTTGGATTAAAAATGCGAACTATCGTGTCAAAGCCTGCCAGGAAGGTCTGCGTGGGCTGCTCCCCAGTTTCAGCAGCATAAAATCCAGACTCCGCTATCGCTTTCGCCTTGTCGTGGAAGAAAGGCATTGTAGTAACAGCGACATCGATCTCGACTCCTTCATCGAGCAACTCCCGTCCCATAGCCTCCATCATGCTCAACCTGATGGGAAAACTCGCCGGCTTCGGCGCTTTATCAGCGTTGTTGACTGAGAGCAGTAGCATCAATCTCTCCTGGCCCTCGGATTTCAGAGCAGTACGTGCCATACTGGCGTGCGCCAGCGTCGGCGGATTGAAGCTCGAGTCTAGGACTATGAGATGCCGGACTGAGCGGCCAGGACGGCGCGGCGCGGGGACATTGGAGGTGTGGGGTAGAGTGCACAGAACACGAAAGGCATCTGAGGATGACTGGAAGGAGGTGAGGGCTCGAGAAAATGACGAGACAAGAGTTTTTGGGTCTATTGAAGGCATGTCGGATGGTGTTGAGTTTTTGTTGCTCATCATGTGTTGGTGAAGTTCAGAGAGGTACTTGTGATGGACATGGATTAACGTAGTACTAGAGAGATGACTTGGCGGGTTACAGAAAAGTTGGCCTCCAAGCTTTAGGATACGAAAATAAACAACCCAAGAGTTTGGCCTAAGCACCATGAACCGACTCACTAATTTCGTCTTTTTATGATTCTGGTCAACTTTTCTAATATCCTGGAGATGACATGAGGAGACGTGGGGCTGGCTTAGTACTGACAAGGGAGCAGAGTCACACAACACCGGGATATAAGAACACATATTTGACCGTATAAAACCATTGGTTATTTCTTGATTGTATATAATAAAGCCCAGCGCAATAAGACAAGGCCGAGACCATATAATAAACCCAAACTCCTCTAGACACCATGCATCTCACGCCCGCGGCTTTATTCATTATGTTTACTCGGCACTCTGCCCATCCATGACTCCTCGCGAGAACCATTCTGCCAATGTACTAAAGCGATCCTCGCTGTTTTCCAGATCGCTCTTGAACAGATCGTGCTTACCAGCTCTCTCACGCTGTCCTTCTCGCATCTTGCGGATTATGTCATTCTCGGGCGCGCACTTGGGACACTCCGAATCACCCTCGTTGCCTCCATTTCGCACGCAACGTTGATGGAAGCTGTGCTTGCATAGGAAGTGAACAGCAGGTAAATCTAGCCGCTGACTGCAGTCGGAACACCATGTTGCCTGGAATACAGCTGGCTTGGATCCCAAGTCGGCAAGCTCCTCGCGACGCTTTTCCGTATCTCCCCGAAGTGTGTTGATTCGGCTTCGGTTAGAGGCAATTTCCTTGCGCTCCCTTGTAATCGTTTCGTGCAGGTATGGTTTGATCATGCCCATGGTAGCGACACCACCACCCGACGATTGTCCCACAAGAGTCTGGATAACTTGCAAAGGTGCCATGAGTCCATCCTTGTCAATCTTGTTTAGAACGCTGGCTAGCTCATCTGGCCCAGCCTCCTCTAGCACTTTCGGATCTGAGGTGAGGTATGCCAGTGCAGCCGGGTATAACTGCGGCTCCTCGGGGCCGTATTTTCTGAGAGCTTTCATGGCACCTCGGGTGTCCTTGGCTGATGTGTAAGATCTGAAAATGTCGAAAAGAAGCTTTGCCTGCTCCTTGACAAGGACTGTTCCGTCCTGAAAGTCGGCAAGATGCGATAGAAGCAATACGTTTGAGCTTTCCATGGGTACATGTTCGCCTTCAATAAGCTTCTTGGCCTTTGCCTCCCATTCCTCCTTGTGATGCTGACCCTTCTTCTCGTTGGCCTTGTACAAGTACATCTCAAAAAGAGTAGTGTACAAATCTGTCCTGTCGCTCGACTTGAGGTGCTTCTCCTCAAGGCATGCTTCGAGAAAAACGATGAACTCATCAGGATGGTCGATGAATGAAGAAAATGCTGTTCTTGGTGGAGGCGGGGTGTATTTAGGTGCAGGGATATCGTCGTTGTCTACAACAATGGTGCTGTCGCTCACTACAGCCCGTGTATTCCCAATAGTACCAGGAGATGCTACTGAAGAAGTATTCATATAAGGCAGGGGAAGAAGATTAGAAAGGTTCTGAACAGCACTGGCGGCTCCGGCTGCAAACCCGCCACTAGCAGGTGTGTCGATGTCATGCGGCACAGTTAAAGTTCGTCGGGGTCTGTAGTTGCCGGTATAATAGTCCACGAATAGCTTTGTGGCATCTTGGGGACAGTTCTCGATCAACACTCGTGCGTACTTTTGTAAACAAGGGTACGCCTACATTGTTAGCAGATATTCCGTTCGGAGACTGATTCATACATACAATATCGGGATCTTGACGCCAGACGTAATCGAGCGCTTCGGCATAGTTCTTGGAGTCTTCTATCAAGATGTCTACCACCAGATCAGTCTCACCATGCTTCTTGGCTAGGTATGCTGCCTGTTCATAATATCCACCCTGACGACACATGGCGATTGCTGTATCAAGGTCGAACTTGAGGTCGCCAGGAGACTTGATGAATTTCTCAAGCTTGTTGATATCCTTGAGCTTCGCATAGCAGTTCAGGAGAAGAGTGGTATGATCAGCGGTTGCTTTTCGGTGGTCATGAAGCTGCTCCAAATATTGAATAAGGTTATGAATTCGTTGTGTATCAAGGTACTGACAAAGTTAGCATTGGTTACATATAGCAATGCATTATTTACCTTGCGAATGACTTGTGATGGCTCGGTCGTATCGATTGCTCGAATGTACTGAACCATAGCCCCGTCATAATCAGCTTTCTGATATAGGTGATCACCGAATCGGCGGTAAATAAGGCTTTGCTGTTCATTATCCATCCCAGACTTTTGCGCAAGCTCGATAGCCAGGGGAAACATGTTCCTCTGGTACAACATTTCCAGCCGTTGCTGCAAGCTCTTCTCATGATATCGATAAACCTGAAAATGTTAGTGTGAGCCAAAATTTCAATCAAAACGAACTTACCTTGCCATCTTGAAGGATCGTGTAAAAGTCACCCCAGATATCAACAAAATGCCCCACTGGAGACATCAACGTCTCAGTATGACCAATAACTCGAAGGTCCATATCCAGCAGCACAAAAGATGACGCATTGAACAGAGAATTGGCAGTCGTACTACCAAACCGCCGTCTCATAGCCTCGGAGTCTTTTGCCGTACTGCTTGCTGGCGGACAAGCAACCGCAACGTATTCATGGTAGACATCAATCTTGCTCTTGGGCGACTCATATGCCTTAGGGGGCCCTCGGCCTTCCTGAGTATAGGTATAGATGGCATCGTCCCGCGCAATGATAACACCGTCAGTGTTTTGGTCACGCGTCATGCAACCCACTGCACATCCGGCATCCTCAACGGTCTTGGGCGGCATCCCATGTCCCTTCTTCGAGAGGCCTAGCTTCAAAATCCTTGAGGTTGTGGATATAAATAAGGTGGTGAGCTTCTGCGTCTCATCCCATGCTAATTCAACACCCGTGACTGGCTCTTCTGATTCGAAAACGATGCGCTGCTTTGTGCCGAGGTCGTGGACTAATTCGCCCCGAATTATGGTGACGGCACCGTTCGTAAATCCCACCGCGATCTGTGTAAGATCATCCGTAGCCGCGAACGCCGATATCTTCTAGTGATCAGTTTTTGTATCATGATAAAACCCTTAAGCGTCTTACAGGAAATTGTCGTCGGTTGTTGTTGATCATCACCGTGCTTAGACATGTCGGTGTGTTGGTTTTCTTGACAAGCTTATCAAGCGCCCACACTTTGAGAACAGGCTCACTACTCATATCCTCCTGTTATCATCATCAGTATATCTGCCGCTCGATCGAACAGTAAACAAGCCGTACCGCAACTGTCAACAAGAGACTCGTTCGTTCAACCTGGCGCATATGCGTGATGCTCCCAGCCTCGTAAGCCTGGAAGCGCTTGGCGACCTTCCATGACTTGTTTATTATGCTGACGTATCCATCGAATGATCCAAGGAAGAGGCTATCGGAGCCTGCGCAAACGCTCGAGATCTCGTTGCCTTCGAAGAGCTGTCGGGTTTCGTCTTCGGCGAGCGTGATTTGGGCGACATCGAAGAAGTCAAACGACTTCCACTATAATTGAGTGTTAGCATGCTGAGAACTTGTATACGCCCCAGTAGATGAGGCTTGTCTGCAAAAGACAAAAGGGCCGTTCTTACTGAAATGGCCATCTTGAAGCATCTGAGAATGTCGGGTCTTGAATTGGGGAAGATCCATAGGCTGGGGCGCGATGACGATGGTGGGACATTTGAGCTAGGGAGCTACAGTGGAAGCTTGCCTAGCGCCACAGTGGCTGTTACTGCTACATATATGATCAAACATAGTCATTTTATGCTATATTTGACCTGCTTTTAGGCTATTTATCTCATGTGTCATGAGCTTAGAATTGAAAGAATAAGCAATGTTGATACAAATTATCAGACAATGTTGAAATCGCCTATCTTCATCATAAACCCATTACGAATTTTGACCAGAGTCTAAATGGTAGCACAGATCAAGCCAATAACTTCACTCATTGGACTCTAATCGATCTCAGGGTATCATTGACGGTATTAAGGGAAACCATTCCCTAACTGCCTATAGTAAAAGTATCAGACCAGACTCTATATAAAAACCAATCAAAACACCAGATACGCTCGTATACCTGCCAAACCCAACTTCCAGTAACCGATATAACAAAGTAAAGCATAACTCATTCGTGCGAAAAGACAGCATGTTCATCCCTCCTTAGTCCTGGAAGCCATAGGGGTAATCTCTCGTTCCTCTTTTTCATATTCGACATTCTCATTGTACACCTCACGAGGAGTAGCCAACGGGCTGCTCAGACCACCAATACTACCGCTCACGCTCTCAGCCCGCCCATGACCAAGCAATCCACTCCGAACACTGGCAGCGTCTCCTTGTTTGGCATAGTAACTGTTGCGATCGCCCGAAATGGCAGGTCCAACGCCCGTGGCCGAGTATATGCTCGTTCGCTCGGTTCCTAACCGAGGGTTACCGTGAATACCAGGAGTAGGTGGCATGCCCATTGGGTCAATATTTGCGCTAAGAACGCTAAGAGGTAGACTTTCACGACTGCCACCCCAAAGAGATGAGGGTGCGAGAGCACGGACGGACGCATCGGTATCCAGAGAACGTCGGCGCCGGCGCTTGCTTGATGACGCCAACGTGAGGATGGATGCATTGTCGGTCAAGAGATTGTTGGCCGTCGCAGAGGTGTAGGTAGTTGGATTGCCACTAGGAGCCAGATGAGCTGGGATGGCAGATGCAGGCGCCCCCGTAGTGGGAAAGGGTTGGCTGAACTGAATAGACTGCGAGGTTCCTTGGTTTTGCGAGGTATGATGATGAGGCTGCCCTGGGCCGTTGGGTGCCATGGACTGAATCGTCGTCAAAGTTGTGGTCAAAGATCGGACAGATGGCGCTGGACTTGAAAATGTGCTGTCTCCCCCCCTCCTGGAATCGACTCCTCCGCCGATGGTACGACTTGTGCCAGCGACAGAGCTTGCTCTATGGCTTGGAGCCATAAGCGAACGTGAGGCTTCGTGGTCGGTCAAGACGGTGCCAGCACAACTCCTGCCTCCAATTGTTGGTGGGTTCTGGTCTTCTCGGGATGTTCGGGCGGATTGGTTCGCGCTGGTGTTACTTGTGCCCGTAGTGGTGGTGAATGTGCATGCACTCGTCCCGTTGGTGACACCATTGCCGATCTGACCAGATTCTGGATATGGGTTGTTTTTCTTGTGACTGCGCTTCTTTTGTCTCTTTTGGCGTTCACCATCAGATTTGAAGTTGGTAAACTTCTTTACCCATGTTGAGAATGGTCTCCTGCGTTGACCTTGACGGTCTTGGTCATGTTAGCCTCAGTTGTGCTTGTTTCGATGATATTTCAAGGTGGCGATGTTGCGTGATCGCAAATACGCCTCTTGAATTTCCATGAGTTCAATCACTCACCCTGCTCTGGAGATATTGCGTCGGTCGTCGCCATCAAATTGAGAAGTCGTTCCGAGTGTGAAGCGTCGAGTTGAGGCCGCCGATACAGCGTCGTTGGGCAGCGGCCGGAGGCGGGGAGACAATGACAACAAAAAGAAAGAGGATCGCTAGAGTAAATGCTCGCTAGGAGCAGAAAGAGCAAGTAGATTGGTGCGACAATCTACGATGAAGGACAGTGAACAAAAGCAGATAACTAAGTAGGAAATGAGCCTCGAAAAGAAGTCGTCAGCAGGTTAAAGTGTGTGGTATGGGCGGCAACGAAGGCTGAAAGCGGCGAAGCATGATGGTGCAGTACATATTGTTATCACGTGATGTTTCAATATCGAGACAAAGGGATCACGGGCCAGAATGTCCTTGCACTGTTCTTGTCCATTGTGCTATAACGCATCTGTCCTAGATCAACGGAAAAATAGGCAGGATTTCTCCCATCCACTCTCCCATCTTCAACGGGTTTTCTCTTCATGTCTCCTGTGGCTACAACTCCTGTGACTACAAGCTTCGGCTGAGGTCTCGACTCTCAAAGGTGCATCGCTCTTGGCGCCACCTCCACTATGCGGGACCCTGGATTTGGGGACGTTACCCACTGCGCCTTAAATAGATCGCCCCAAAGACCAGGTGCCCCTAGCTCCAGCTTCGACGTCATTTCCCCTTTGAACTTTTTGCACATTCAACAACATCACAGCCAGCAAAGACTTGAAGCCAACAAGCATGATCCTCTATAGAGTATGATCATCCGACAACTTCCACAGGATGTCGTCGACAAGATCAAATCATCGGTTAACATCACGTCCCTGAACGGAGTAGTTTGCGGTCTCATCGCCAACTCTTTGGATGCTGGCGCTTCCAAGGTCAACATCTCCGTCGATTACGCCAGGGGAAATTGTACCGTTGAGGATAATGGGTCCGGGATTCCACCTGAAGAATTTAAAGATGGCGGGGGACTCGGGAAGCTCCACCGTGAGTGAAACGCTTGTGCTTTAACACATTGACTAACACCCGCTTGCTTTAGATACATCCAAATTCCCTACAAGGTCATCTGTCCATGGGAAACATGGCGATTTCTTAGCCTCTCTTGCTACATTCTCTCTTCTGACCATCACCTCTCATCATGAAAGGCATATCTCTCATAACTCTATCACAGTCCGTAACTCTCGGGTTCTAGCTAGACAGCTGCCTGTACCCCCTGAGTCACCGCTTGTCAACTTTGACCATGGAACTCGCACTACAATCCGAGATCTATTCGGCAATATGCCAGTCAGGGTCAAGCAAAGAGCTGTTTTCAGTGAAAAGCCTGCTCTCGATAAAGAATGGTCAAAGTTGACTCGAGCTGTTGTGGGCATGCTTCTTGCGTGGCCGTCGAGTATAACTGTATCACTAAGACATGCAGCTACGCAACGTGAACTTCGATTCCGGCCACCAGAAAAATTGGACATAACATCGAGAACCTCTCGTATCCTTACCCAAGCTGGTCTTGCAGACTCAAGTGATGTTGACGCTTGGGTACCTATTTCAGCATCATGCGGACCGATTTCTGTCAAGGGATGCATTTGCACCAATCCCGTTGCCACACGCCGTTCTCAATTTGTTAGCTTGGGAATTTCCCCTATTACCAACGAGTTTGGTACTGATGTACTTTACGAAGAGATCAACAGGATCTTTGGTAACTCTAGCTTTGGCGTTATTGATGGTGAAGAGGGTAATCGTTATGCCTCGCCAAAGTTAGATGAGTTTACCGGTAGAGAGCTACGAAGTCGCAAAGGAATTGAGAGGTGGCCTATGTTCTATCTGAAGATTACAACATCTTCTTTGGGAGGAATTAACAATCCGGACCAGCTGGGAAGTCATGGCCAGACTTTGTCTGCGATCATTGACCTCCTGAAAGCGACATGTTACGGTTTCCTCAAGAAACATCAATTCAGACCGCGGAAAGTCCAAATAAGGACTGAGGAATGTTTGTTTTCAACGGCGAGGACGCTGGGTCGGTCTAAAAAACCGACATCATCGAACAGCTCCAGAGCTAGCTCCGTTGCCTCGACATCTAGATCCGAATCAGTCGCAACACGAGTGGATAGCCCCTTTGAAGGATGGCACCGGGTGAAAGTTGGAAGAGCTACACCGCTTAGTTCCACTTCAAAGGCGACAGACGTTTGCACAAAGACACGCGAACCGCGTTCCTCTGACCGCCTTGTTGGCGAGGGTGGAAAGTTACTACGTAAACCGTTTGACATATCTTCTTCTCCCGAGCCAGAAGACCAGTCAAGCGGCCTGTCTAAAACAATCAGCACATTCGGCTCTGACATCCGCACTGTCGACTCTGAAACAAGTGACAGTAACACAAGCAGCGGTACTGCCGGTCGAGTTGCACAGAAGCAAGACAAACATCCCAGCAAATGGCTTCAGGGTGTAATCAACTCTTGGGAAAATCCCATTTTTCAACCTGTGCAAGCACTAATACCATGCATCGATGGCTCGACGTCAGATCAACTCCATACGTGCGGCAGGAATAATCATAACGGAAGTCACGTTGGGCTTGGCGCTGGATTTATGAACCTCAATGGAAAGATTTCCCGTCACGCACTCACTCATGCCATTACGATAGCGCAGGTTGACCGCAAATTCATATTGGTCAAGCTCTCTTTGGAAAGTTTAAAACCCGGGAGTTCCATACTCGAAAGGCAGAGCTCAGCACTGGTTATGCTCGATCAGCATGCGGTCGATGAACGGTGTCAACTTGAAGAACTCATGTTGGAGTATTTTACCACCGACCCTTTGACCAACCAAGTATTGCCCCAGATAGAACCTTTGCATCGGCCCATTATCTTTGAGGTTCCACAAGAGGAGTGGTCCTTGTTAGAACAGCATCGCGGATACTTTGCTGCTTGGGGCATCATATACCAGACGCCTACAGCCTCGCATCTCCATAAAGTCGTGGTTACCGGCCTTCCGTCAAGTATCATCGAGCGCTGCCGTCTAGAACCTCGACTGCTGATTGAACTTTTGCGCACGGAAGCTTGGCGCAGTGTTGATAGTAGCATTCCACCAGTGCGACCAGCAACTGCTGCTCCCGACAAGCCCCTGATATCACGTTTCAACGGGTGCCCAAGAGGTATCTTGGAGTTGTTACACTCCAGAGCCTGCAGAAGTATGATACTATCCTCTCATTGTTCAACGTCTCGCTAACTTGTGTCAGGTGCCATTATGTTCAATGACATTCTCACAATTCAACAGTGCAATGAACTCATCGCTCGCCTCTCGCGTTGCGCATTCCCGTTCCAATGTGCGCATGGCCGGCCCAGCATGGCACCGTTGGTTGATCTTGGAAATGGAGGGAAGTTTGGTGGTTGGCAAGAGACGGAAAAACAAAAGAAGGTATCATGGAAGAGCTGGCTAGAGGCTTCATGATGGGCTGGCCAACCTCTGTGTATCTGGGCCCTAACTAGAGGTCAACACAAAGCCTGAGGCCTGTATTCACGCAGCAAATAACGATAGGAATGGTTTGATTGTATCGTTCACTACCCTAAGACGTTCTGTCCTCTAGATAAACAATTCAAAACGATATTGATTCCAAAATGGTCGCATAGAGTAAACGCAAGCAACCGGGATATCTCTAACTTTATTTTCTGCCATCCTACAAACTTAAATAAAGTATCTAGCAATGCAAATTCGACGCCCCAAGTGGCGTACAAGCCAACTTGACCCAACGGGTATGCTGAAATCCGCTCTCCAACGCCATTAATCCACATCCAACGCCTCGGCGTAGCAGAAGCTCGACAGCCTGCGCATGATTCGTGGTAAACCAGAAGAAAAAACGGGTGCTATTAATACAGTGCAGGTCGTGATTCGTTTATCATTCGCGGGTCATGTATGCGAATTTTGAGAATTGTGAGAGAAATTATTCGAAAAAGGAACCTTAAGGAGCTGATGGCTCAGCTGTCTCCTCTTTGGGTTTTGGGTTAGCAGCAGCCTCGGCCAGGTGACGATCGACGGCACCGAGCTTGCGCTGTTTTGCTTCCTCTTCATTCTCCTTGATCCAAATCTTGTTATCGTGATCCCATCGGTGGCTGTGAACTCAGTTAGCACATGTAAACTCCGTAACGGCTGCTGCAACGGCGCATAAGGAAAGAATGCGGTTGTGACTTACCCTGCCCAACTCTCGGTGACCAAACTCTTGGTATCATATTCATCAACCAAAATCTTATTGAAGTTGAAGGGCACACGGGCTTTAACACCTTCAAACTCGGTGATGCGCATAGGCCATAGATCCTGGCTTCTGTATCGATGCTTGTTCTTGCAGCTCCAGATACCTGGCCGATCCACCTCGCGCTCGCGCAGACCGGTAATATCAACGTACATGCCGTTCTGCATGTCAATCCAACGAGCATCGATGATGTTTCGTCCATCAGAACGATCGATGTCGACGTGGTGGGGGTTGACGTCCAGTAGGTATTTCTTGGATATGAACTCCCCTGAAGCAGAATCGGTATAGTTCCAGCTGTGTTCAGTACGGTTGAGGTTATCGCCAATCCACTGCATGGTGCCGTTTGAGATTTGAACGTCAAGATCGTAGTCCCAGGGCATAATTTGACCGTTCCACCACCAACCGAGTAAAGTTCCATGAGCGATCCATGTCTCTACGCCGAAACTATTCATAGTAAATAGATAACTTCGAATCAGGTCTCGAAGAACGAAGCGATGCTCTTCGTATGAGACTTTTGATTGGAAAAAACGACCGTCATAGTGACCAAGTTCGATATTGCGACCAGCTTCGACAAAGTATTTTGGTGTCTTTGGCTTATCGGCGGCGGCGCGTTTTGCGAGGGACGAAGTATCTTGGACTTGTCGAGCTTCTTGGAATAGTGGGGGAAATGCGAGGGCAGCAGCTGGCGCAGAGAACGAGGCAAGACTCCAAAGGAGCAGCGACTTTATGGAGCGCATGTTTGCGTACGCAGTTGTGTTGTGTCGGTAGTGTAGGGATGATGGTTGTAGAGTCGTATATAAGGCGATTGTTGAAGTGATATGCACCGGGAGGTGGGTAGCGATCGGCTCGGATCGTCGTATGTATTGTATTAGATTGGGGATGGCGTAGCAATGCAATGCAAAAGAGAGGAGTTAATTAACAATACTTTGTTTGGTCAATGGGATTCAAAGCGAAACAGTATTTTAGGTCGTAGGAGAATGAGGTATTGAACAAGATTGGGTACTTAGAATTTAGAGTGAAGAGAGGGAGGGAGAGGGAGAGAATCAATGATAAGAAGTAGTAGCTCCAACTCCAAATGAAAGAATGACGGAGGATGTGGATAAGGAAGCAGGGGAGAAAAATAGAGGCTGAGAGGGAAGTGGGCGGGCGGCGCCGCGACAACGTCAGGGGGCGCGGGGGGGAAGAGAGCACGCGCCTCCTTGCCCCGACGGGGAATCCCAGTTAACAGTGAATGTAAGTGTAAGTACCTATGAGTAGTACACTCTGTTGGTGGTACAGATCTGACAGGAAAAGAGATACAAGGAATATATTAATTTGTATTCATACTCTCGTCATGGATATGCTTCTTTTTAAAGCCGCATACTGCTAACTCGGAGAGATGATACATCTAGACCTCCAGATTTGTATATTAAACTTTGACTTCTAACGCCCTGTTGACGATTTCATTTTCCGTTCCAGTTAGTAAACGTGCAAATGTGAACCGTTGAGGCTCAAATCTAGCCGCCCAAGAATTCCACGGCAATTGTAGGCCGAACAACGTGACATTTGCGATTCCGCCGTTTTATCTTGGCTGTTGGATCAAAGACCTCTTACGCGTATTCCCAGTCGTTGGCATTTCTCGGCGTATATTCACAGCACAGTATTAGTGGATTACTTACTATTTCTCGGCAGCGCTAAGCCCCGCAGAGTAAGCAGTCGTGTGCTAAACCGCCCGTTAAATCACGGATGCCAAGTCAATGTAAGATGAAGCCAAGACTGGGCTGCCAACTGTAAAACCAGTTTCTAAACAAACTAAAAAATGAGATATCTCCATGGACGTCTTCCCCTAACTCCGCGTTGCTACCAATTGGCAAAATACTTTCCAAAACTGTAGAACAAAAATTACAGCCACGGACCTGTTTATAGATTTTCAACTTACACTACGGAGCAAGCGATATCTCATCGGTAGCCGCAAATGGCATGGCCCGGATGCGTCGGCATTAACTCTCCGATACGGCGTTGACACTAACTTCTGCAATGTTATCTTCAGACACGTACTCGGGTAAGCTAGAAGGTAGATAGATAGTCTACAAAAAACACAAAAAATGAATTCATGAGTATTCTCATGTGGCGATCTCTCCCGCCGGGAATTGAACCCGGGTCTCAAGCGTGACAAGCTTGCATACTGACCACTATACTACGGAAGATAGAACAATCTGAAGATTGCTGTAGTGGGGGGTTGTTGATGATTGGTCAGCCATTTACTACTAAGAGCTCTACGCTGTAGACTACGACGATGTCCTACAATTGAGCAACAGTTTAAGCAGATATTAGAGCTCACTTCAACGGAAGATGATTCTCAATCCCCTTCAAGGCTAACTACAGCTCCTAAGCCTTAGTCTCGGGTATAGAAAAATGAGGCAGTACAAATATAAAAACAGCATTAACAATCCTGGTCCGAACACGGGGAATCGTTTTATTTCCGATGTATACCAAACCAAACACCATTTCTCTTATTTCACCAACTTAGCTCACATCTATCATATCATGGATCAAGCTTCACTGGAAAGGGACATAGCCATGATTCAATCCGCTGAGTCCTGCCCACCCAGACCTCCCCCTCTTACACTGAACGATACTACCCGTGAATTATATGAGCGAGCCGTCGCTGATCCATCGTCATTAAGCGAAGAGGAACGGAGAAAGATTTTGAAAAAACTACCCCGCGAAGAGGAGGATTCGCTCTGCCATGACATTTGCGGGTCAACCATGTCTGAGCTTGTAGTCTAGGCTATTCAGGATCCCGGCTCCCTCTCCTACCAGGAAACGGACCTGATAACTGGCATCACCCCAATTGACGGAAAGGGGAAGATGTCAGTCGAGTCGATTCGACTGGTCCGCACTGACATGGACTTGTGGCACAAAGCTTCAAAAGCCGTCATGACAATGGATGAACTCGCTGCCGAGAAAACGGGTTGGGGAAAGCGAAGTGCACGATACAGCGCTTGCGATGCGGCCAGAGAGGCGCTTGGTAGTTCCGATTTCTTGATCATCAAGAAAGCCCTCACACATGTGCCATGGCAGGATCGCATCATGAACTCGAGCGTTTCAACCAAGACATTGGCGCCTTGCGGCTTTGCGGTATTCTACCCAAAAGATCGAGACATTGATTGGTCTCCTTTTAAAGAATACGTGAAAAAGTTCGTATCTTACAGGTTCCATCGCTGTTTGACGCTGGTAAAGGAGCCGATCATGGCAGGGTTCAAGTTGCATGATATACCACATGATAGCTTGGAACCACTCCAAAGTCACTTTGTTTCTATGCAAGAGGCGGGGAGTATTCCAGTAGGTTTACGACACGATGCGTTTCTCTACGTCGATTACGAGGCGCTCCAGTCTCTGAACTTAGATAGACCGTTCATCTGGTTATGTCAGCCACAGGAACACTCGACAGCACAAGAACACTTAGGCCCAGTCAAGGTAGATATCAAGCATGTGGCACCAGTGTTGCTAATGCGGTTAACACAGCGGGATATGTTGCTCGAAGGGCGTCAGTTGCTAATGTAGCGCTGTAGACCAGATTTAGAAGGCTTTCATATGACCGCGGCTGAGTCAACCAACTTACACTCAGCGGAGCGTGATGGAATTTGGCCTCTTCGCACAGTTTGCATATGAAAAGCTACGTACCCAATCTAATACATTTGGACGGAATCACCGCTGTAGTGGTTTCAAAACCAGTAGTGACCTTTCGTTTCGGAGTCTTTCGTATACAGTACCGGTAGCCCTCCTTACGCCGTGAGCGGTGATTCATATGGAGGACTTTGAGTTGATACTCGCGTTAGTTCTTCATTCGTAGCCGTGGTATAATGAACAAAATAAACATCCGGTGAAGTGAAGGAATATGCTGTAACTTAGCAGCTGCAAGCTATTCAGAGACTGGAGAGGCCAGGTAGATTAATGATGAATGGCTGAAGATGAAGTTAGAGAATTGTGGTATAGCGAATTCTTCATCATATCCAAACGGAGAGAGCGGACTTTCCAGCAACATGCATTCAGAGCAAAACTGCTCAGAAGTAGGTTCATCTTCTATGTCAGGCGATTAATGTATTAACTGAACATATAGAAGACCTTAAGCTTTCCATCTTGGAGACATGTGTAGTTGCAAGTGAATAGAAGCTAGTCCAAGTTAAAGTTTTTAGGTGTATAGCTCCAGCCAATCGATATATAGCAAGACCTCTGCCGAGCAACAGCCAGCCTTCCCAGCCCTCAATAGTCTTGGCCTTACCCCAAGAATGCCTACACTAAAATCTCACCCTGCATACCTGTGCTGCTATGGTTTGGGTCGTGGTGGTCGTCCAACAACTCCCCATCCGAGCCTTGATGTTACTGGGTAGAGCCTCCTAAGTGGCTCTCGAAGTAGGTGTCTTCACTACCCACTACTAGATAGTCGATTGCTCAGCGGGAGATCCGTTACAACCTTGTTTTGGTTAAACTTCTTTACTGCTTAATCTGCGGGGGTGATCGACAGCATGTAGCTGTTGGAATTTCGTATCCCTTGGATGATTATCGCTAAACTTCAAGTAGATTTGGAAGGACCGCTGATGTTGATATTGTAGGGTTAGTTCTGCTTAGTTTATGCCTTGGGATAAATTCACCGCTAGTACTGATACATATCTACACTCGAATTCAGCTGTACTTGGAATGGGTAAGAAGTCTGAGCCACTAAGTTGAACGCCATCGAAACTGTTGGTTCTGCAAAAACACATCGAGCTGACGCGCTAAGGCAAGCTGAGATTTTCCTAACCAACATAGTTTGAACATTCAGTATATTTTGCATGAAGCCAAAAACGAACAACGAATAGAGAACGATAAAAGACAACCAATACAACTAAATAGATGCATGCCTTGAAAGCATGACAAGTTGAAGCAGAAAGTAGAATAAACCAGTCGAAGACATGCCAGATCCAAAAGAGTCTTTCTGTCACCTTTAATCGATGTCCTAAACTCTCAATTTTGAGTCAACCTGGAACTTCTACTTTATTCAGCATCTTGCCTCGCCTTCATCATGAAAGAAACCAAGCAACCAGAGTTGCGAAACCTCATGATATCCGAAAATGTATCTGAAGTTCATTCCGATGAACTGAAAGAATCACTTCGGCAATCTTCACCATCATGGCTTATGAGAGTGGGTTTCTCTATACCTCTTCTCATCATCCCAATTGCCTATACCAGTATGTTCCTCAAGCCAGAAAAGCACAAGCACTAACATGATAATAGTTCTCCTCGTCATAATGGGTTATCTCCATGGAAAAAAGCAGTCCTCTTTCGGCGATACGGTGCTTGAGGTTATCAGTGTCGCTTCTACGTTATGGCCTATCTTATTCGCAGCGGTCCTCGGTCCACTACTGAAGACTATCGCACTCTTCCGTGCCGAACGAGGTTCGACATTAGGCTCTCTGGAGTTCCTGTTGGCCAGTCAGACCACAGCATCTGCTCTGAAAAACTTCATAACCATGGGCTGGATCGGCAGCTGGGTTGTAGTTGTTCTTTCAGTATGGTCCCTTAGTCCTTTGGGAGGTCAAGCCGCGCTCCGTTCGTTGCATCGCCAGCAGAATCCTCTATGGATGGAAACACGAGCAGCATACTATCTCGGCAACAATAGAAGTGAGATCTACCAGTATTATCGTGATGGAGCGAGCGTGTTTTTTGGTGCATCTGCTGCGGCATCCTTGATTTCCAATATGAGAACCATTCTTTCTGCCTCGTTCTCAAAACAGGACACTTTAGTCTCTCATGCCAATAGCAGCAGTCCTTATTACAATAGTACGATTGCGGATATTGGAGGTCAATGGGAAGCTTCACGCAGTGGACGCAGAGATCTCTGGCGGAACGTCCGCATTCCTTTCATTGAACTATTGCCCGAGTACAGGAGCGACAACCCACATGCCTGGGTACCAGTTCCTGAGGATGAAATCGTCCCTTACACCTCGTTGATAGGACTCCCCATCAGAAATGGTTCATTCGAAGGGACAGGAAACTCAACCATGATAGTTGATTTCCATTATATGGTTCTCTCATGCAGGAAAGCCTTTGATGGACGCGAATGGGTCAGCAACGGTTCGACAGCGCTATCATTTCATAACACCAATTCTGAACGTCTTTTGAAACATCAATTTAATGAGGAAGGTATGGGATACCGCAAAATCTGGCTCGATTTACCGAACAGCTCAACAACTGCAGAGCATATCAATGCCCAATTGGATGTCGAGCCACAGTCCAAGTTGCAACTTGTGATGGGTGGCGAATGCTTGGATACACAACCAACTTCGAACTCTCTAGATGTGGAACTTATTCCGATGCTAAGGATCTGTGACATAAGCACGTCATATATCGACATGGAGGTCACTTGCAGAAGATTAGCAGCCGATGCTGACTTGGTGTGTCAGGCTAATCGGGTTCGACATGCGCCTTCGTATCCGATCAAGGGCAACTGGACAGCACTTTCAAACTACAGGCTGCCTAGTAAAATTCTAACTGAATTGACATACATGGGTGCAAGTCAACATGTCGCAGAACCTACTGTACTAGAGACGTATCTAAGGGACCCTCTAGGATTGTTTCGGCGTTCTCTTGGGGGTTACACTAGTGATTACGAGCCACCTGGGTGTTTCTCCTCTCTTCCACCATATATTTTGGAAAGAAGACTTGCGACTGCACTTAACACTATCGTTATGTCCTCATATGAGGTGAATATAGTAACCGGCGGAAAGGGAATAGGTTCAGAACAAAACCATTGGCAGAACACCACGGCGTCGTGGACGGAATTCGACAGAGACATATACGTGTTGGATAAGCCGTGGTTTATTACGACAGTTGTTTCGACCGTGATATTAATCATTTGTGCTGTTGCTAACATTATTATTCGACAACGCATCAAGGCACCCGACTTTCTGGATAATATCACCGGTCTTACAAGGGATTCTCTGTTTATTGATTTACCTCAAAGCGGAAGTGGAAAGAGTGGTCTCGATCGACTTGCAACGATTAAGAATGTTAGTGTTCGAATTTGTGATGTTTATCCAGAGCGCGAGGTTGGAAGAATTGCTTTGACGACGGAACTGAATAGCCCAGGACTGAGATGGGGTCGAAGTTATGATTGAATTCATTCATCCATCTAGCACCGTCGTTGTATATATGGTGGTCTTGATCGAGTATTTCAAATAGCTTAGTTGGTTGGTAAATCGTAGGAACTCACTTCAACTGCTTGATATACATATATGTTGATGGGAGCTGCCAGCTATGCTATATATAGCGACACACTAGGCATTGATCCTTGAAAGAAAAAACGAACTTAATAAAATCAGTAGTTATAAAAGTGCTTTATCAGAAGTGCAAGTGGTCTAATAAACGTTTATATAAGCTTAACGTACGCATAACTGGGACGTTGTAGTAGAAGGTTGTTCGCGTGCTAAACTCCATTCTTTGGGTGGGGATATTAGTAGCTAATAGTGAATCGATCGTCAACAACCCCCTCAGCTACAGCAGTCTTCAGATTGCTCATCTTCCGTAGTATAGTGGTCAGTATGCAAGCTTGTCACGCTTGAGACCCGGGTTCAATTCCCGGCGGGAGAGATCCAGCCATCTGCGATACGCAGATCTTCTTTTTGCATCTTTGCCAATGTCTATGTTATAGATCAAGTGGGTGTGTGTTTGTTTGCTTGCCTTTTGGTTTCTGGGGCCGGCAAGAGTAGCCATGTCTCACTGAGTAACAAATATAGAACAGACATTGGATCAAGTTGGTAGAGAAGCAAGACACTATTTATTGTTTGCAAATTCTCTGACAATTCCTTCTTGGCTAGTATCCAAGAATAAAAACTACGACATAAAATCCTGTCCGCTAATAACCAAAACAGCAATATATGCATGAAAAGCACATTCTTAGTTGTGCCATCTGTGTCCAGGGTGCTTCCAGTCAAGGTTGGCAATCTCCTCAGGAGACAGGCCGGCCAGCTCCTGCTCAACGTTCTTCTTGTCGCGTCGTCGGTTATCCCACTTCATCCACAAGAATCCAGAGACACTAATAATAAAGATGATACATCCGGCGGCGCAGTTGATGCTGTTGCCGATGGGGTAGTTGGGCTTATCCTTGTCGAGGTAAGACCAAGTAGCGATGAGACCACCGATGTTGCCAAACATGACCTGTGATACAGTGTTAGTAAAGGATTAGAGACATATTGTTAAGATTTACTTACGTTGAGACCAATTGCACTGCTTCGAGCGGTATCACTGACAACGTTGGCACTGATGTGAGCGTTGGTCATGGTACCCAGAACCATACAAGTGCTGGCAATCAGGAAACAAGCACCGTATCGAACATTGGCAGTATCAGATCCCAAGAACATAGCGTAGCCGATGACAACGGTGGGGGCAGACAAGATGATAAAGATTTGTCGCCTGTCAACCCACCAACTAATGGCAGGGAAGAGGAGAGCGAAGACAGCACCGAGGGCGTAAGGAGGAACACTGTGAAGCTGCTTCTGGACGACGCTGTAGTCGGGGTAGATGGTACCGACAATGGTGGGGAGGAAGAAGGCGAGACCCTGGACGGTGATGTTGTTGCAAAGGAAGATGAAGGCGATCTGGATAGTGATGGGGTTGGAGACACCGCGCCAGAGCTTGATTCGGTCAATACCATCGACGACTTCGGTCTGAGCGAGACGCTCCGACTTTACACGGGCGATACAAAGTTCCTTCTCCTCCTGTGAGAGCCATCGTGCGGTCTCAGGTCGGTCGGTGAGGGTGATAAAGGAAATGAGACTAAGACCGATGGTGATGACACCTTCGATAGCAAAGATCATTCGCCACTCGTGAAGACCTCCAAAGTGGTTGAGCTTGAGAATAGCGCTGGCCAAGAGACCTCCAAAGGCACCAGCCAGAGGAGCCATGACCATGTAGAGCGACAGACGGAAAGTCAGCTCAGAGCGCTTGTACCATCGAGACAAGTAGTAGGCGATTCCGGGAAGCATGCCAGCCTCAAAGATACCGAGAAGGAAGCGAACACCGCAGAGAGCAGCCTGGGTTTTGCAAAAGGCTGTGGCGACACTGACGATACCGAAAGCTAGAGAAGTAGCCGGGAGGAACCAACCGGGACCCATCCATTTACAAGTGACGGTGGCGGGAATTTCGAAGAGAATGTATGAGATGTAAAAGACGGAGAGGATCTTGTTGTAATCGTAGTTCACGAGGCCGAGATCGGCTCCCATACCAGCGATACGAGCGTTACCTGGAGAGAATATGTTAGAATGTTTGAGCTGAGATGAGCGATGATGAAAGAGACGTACCGATGTTGGCACGATCGATGAAGCAAAAGAGATATAAGACGGCGACGGTGGGAACAGTGTACAAGTCGAGTTTCCATCGTAGCCGACGCTCAGCAGCTGGGTCAAACTGAACTAGAGCGTTGCCGTAGCTATTGGATGTCAGTATTGAATTCAGACTGAGATGAGATGAGACTCACGCATCAGTAGCAGTGTGACCATGGCCAGCAGCGTCATGAACGGTGTTGCCACCAGAGATATCCTTCATCTCGGACCTCTCATCAAAACCCTTCTCCTGGTCTCTATCAGAAGAGGTAGCCATGGTTGACTGTTGAGAGCGTGTATGTGGTGTAGGAACCAAACAGCAGACCAAGGTTGAGAACAAGACAGGACTTAAGCTTATTATAAGAAAATAAAAAACAAAGCTAGTCTGTGTTCTAATTGAACTGCAGATCAGAATGGAAGGGGAATGGTGAGTTAAAATAAGGGGAGCAGGGTCAAGCTTGATTGATATAGCAAAAGCCAAGGGAATTGATAGCACCTCGGGCTACCGTGTCGGGATAAGTGCTATAGAGAAAAGGGTAGCGAACCCCTCTTGTTGGAAGTGAATTGGAGGGTGTGTCTATTTTTCCTTTAAATCTGGTGTGTATTTCCCCTCACGGGGAACTTTGCTAGGATGCTAGAAAAAGAGAGGAGAGAAGGCGAGAAAGAGAGAGGAAATGTGAGTGCTTTGGCCCTAGTTACAGTAGAGAGGAGTCTAGTCAAGGGTCTTGTGTTGCATTTGGCATGGCCTCCCCCGCAATATTGGATTTTTTCCTTTTCCTTTTCAGCCGTTGATGGAACCCTCTTGTGGATGAAGAGACAAGAGGTGTTTGTATTGGCCATCTCGGCTAATTACTTGTCTGTCTGTCTCTAGTTCTAGTTTTGTGTCTAACAGTCAGCTATTATCAATCCTTGATGAATCTAGTCGATGACTCTGAATGACTACAAGTCAAGTTAAGCTAGGTGATTGACAGACATTAGCTTTAGATGCGGGGAATCAATCAACCGAAAGTTAAAACAAAAAGTCCGACAGTCAATGTTGGAGAATGGCCCATCGTTACTGTACATAGTAACTGTGTATGTACTGAGATTCGCACTTGTCATAAATCACCACGTGGAGAAAACGGTCGAATGCAGCCAATCTCTTGTCAGTCTGATAACATATTCGGCAAGACGGTTAAAGAGTGACTCCAATAAAATATGTACATACATGAATGCCGAACAACTGACGATTCTCCCCCAGATTCAACAGGCCTTCCCCAGATCTTGATCTATCTATCAGCCGTTTCCCCAGATTCCTACGAGTCCACAAATCAAACATGAATTACCTAGCAAATCGTAAGATTAATTATTACTAGTTCTCGACTCTCTTCTTTTCCCCGGATTTCTGGGGTAATTTTCATCGTCTGAATGGTCCGTCCAAGCTCTTGATGCGGAGTTGGAGGGTCACTTTGGTCCGTGCCAAGGTACGCTCGGCAATTGGAGTCGGCAACTCTCCAACATGCAATATATACTCCATATCAAGACATACACACATACTTAATAGACAAAACGGTAAATATCGAATTACATCTACCGGTTATTGATCCAAAACTCTATTATTCCATCATTAACAATTCAAACTTTCGGCTGTTCCCTTTCGGCTCTTACCATCGGTTCTTGTCATGTCTATCACATACAGTAGTCATTTTACATAGTATCTATGCATAGTATGCTTATTTACAAAACACCACACTAACCTCAACTCGACCCTTCATGTGAATCTAGCACAAACATACATACCTACACCTAGCTAGCTCACCAAACCCCCGGGATAACTGCCCACCTCTTCCCTACCTTGTCCTCTCCAAACCTCTCCACGTACCATCTCTTTCCCCTCACAGCCCGAGGGAACATTGAAAACAGTTCGTTCACGAGAAACGCCCTCGCAGGCCCGCATCCCCAACCCGCCGCCATCCAGAATCCAGCCCACTCTACCCACTCGCACAGGTAGTGTGGAAACAGCACGTACCGGAACAGACCCGCCTGCGGAATCTGGTAATGCTTCTCTGCTCCCTTGCTATAGCTCTGGTTTCCGTTGCCGTTCTGCTCCAGCTTGATGCGCTCCTGCCGCTGCATCTCCCGGCGTCGGATATCACGGAGCTCTTCGTCGTGAAAGAAGTTTCCAGACAGGCCAAGATAGAATATCAGAATTCCTGCCGAAAACTGCACAATAGACGACTGCGATGACCACTCTGCTTCAGTGACAGGCCCGTAAGCTGCAAGCCATGACCCCAAACATGTCGCGTTAAACATCTGAAAGCTGAAGGCTAGCGACCACACCGCAATGTGCAAGGGCGACATGGACGGCTGGAGAAAGGGGAACATGACCGCGCGGTAAGAGTAGTGAATCACCTGAGTTCCCAACTGTGTTAGTCTCCTTTTCTCCTCATGAGGGCGCTACCTCGGTAGCAAACATTCCCCCTCGGCGGCAAGGTAAACGGGTAGACAAAACATGAACTTACAAACAAACCCGCAAGGACCTTGTTCTGCCACGGCAGATCGTCGATTCCATGTTGTTCAGGAAGAACTTTCATCAGGTACATCAGCGTCAGGGCACCCGGAACTTCCATGGTCAACCAGCCTATACGGCCTGGCAGGTTAAGACGGCTAGAAACCGAAGTTTTGCCCATGCCATACCACTCGGTAAGCCATTGCACTGAACCAATCTATTCGTGCATGTCAGACGTAATATTTCACATGATTCCAGGGGTCATTTTGCTTACCACCGGATAAGCGATCTGCCAGACAGTGAGGATGGTATTGTAGTTTTCCCGAGTGGGTGGTAACCACCCTTCAATAATAGCCATGATGACAGCACTGCCTAATAGGGGGTATGCGTCTCAACAACACAACTGCAGAAACTTGAATACTGAATTGGAAGTTGCGCTCAGTGAAGTAGCAATTGAATTTTTTGAAGGAACAAAATTGATGAATGGCATAAATTAGATTATCCTTCCTTCCATGATGTCAATCAAGTTCGAGCGGTAACTGTGCAACCAGTATTCTGACATTCTCCACCGCCTGCCATTTTAGGTGACATATAAATAACAGTATCACAGGAGCCGGGCTGCAGTAACAAAACTTTACATATAAAGGTCGAAATACCATTGTCAGGTAGGTATCTTAGAAACCACATTTATGGTATTGAGACCTCTAGTGTGGTGAAACAGAGTTGAATGTTGATTATGTGAGAACTAATTCATCACTCTATTCGAACTCTTCTTGCAGATCAACTCCATCAAGACTCGACTTTAGAGAACGCCATGCTTGAATTACCCATTAAATATCCTCCACTTTCATAGTTCATTTCTCATATCCTACTCCTCACATCACAACGCAGTCCCTCTCCTTCTGCACACCACCATTCATACTTGCTGCAGGACCCGACGGTCGTCTGCCTGCAGACTGAACAAAAGGTCTCTGCATTGGCATCGGCGGGTTCATACTCGTAGCTGTTGTCTGTCTTGATACAGGAGGACTGCTACCAGCATGACTAGGGTGTCCCACCGGCGGCTGGTACGTTCTATCGTGTGCCGACTGCTCATAAGACGGCGGGGCATCGTCTGCTGCTTCATCTACCGGTCGTGACACTGCCGGCCGAGGTGGCTGATTCGGGATAAGTGATCGCACCCTTTGTGTGGGCAACCTGGGCTGTGCATTGATCGTATTTGTCGTAGGCGCGCTGACAGAACTGTTACGCCCAGGGACGAGACCACTGGCTCCTCGAGTGACACCTCCGCCTCGAGTGACACCTCCACCTCGTGGGGCTCCTCTGCCAGCCTGACCTCCTCCACGACCTCCTCGGCCTCCGCGATTTCCACGTGTTGCATTTGGAGGTTGGAGAGCTTGCTGCTCAATAAACTGTTCCGAAAGCATGCTCTCTCTTCGTCTTCGTGCCTCTTCTGCTCTATGCCTTTCTTCTTCCTCCTCTTGTAATTGTAACGCAAGAGCCAAATCCCGATCTTCTTGTTCGGCACTTGGGCTCATCGGAGCTTCACCGTCCTCTGGCGCCTTTCCCCGTCTATTCTGTACTGTCGTCCACTCCCCGCCGTCATTGCTGGAATAGTTTCCTGCGCTTGTCGAGGGACCAGCGCCACCTGAACCTACAACACGGAAGTCCCCAGAAAGATATTCGGTGTTCTCGCCGTTGATATCCGATAGTGTCTCCCACACAATCTCATCATGAGATTTGAAACCCGCGTCTGTCACTAATGTGATGAGCTGCATGGATTGCGGGTGGCAGTACAAAGTGCTGAAGTGGTCATTTCGGAAGAGAATGGCAAAAGTACCAGGTCTAATGGCCTTGCCAATAACTTCAATGCCCCAGGGCGTAAGTTGAGTAGCCGAGCTTTCCAGAAACTCCTTGATGATTATGATGTCTTGGTACAGCTGCTGCTCAGACTCGCTAAGTCCGCCTCCAGGATCCGACAACTTTTGTTCAAGCTCTTCCTCTCGGAAAAGTAGATTCTGAGCATCCTCATATGATACAGCTTGTCGTTCCAGCGCATCATGCGCATGTTCATTCTTTGGCGGTAGCCATCCGTGAATCAACGGAATGGAAAATGTAGCATACAAGCCCATCTCAGCCGTATTCTCAAAAGTTCCCGGGATCAGGTCTCCTCGTTCAGCAGGATGCAGATGCGTCAATGACGTACGCTTGTAAGCCTCTCTGATACTCTCTGATGGGATGAAGCGTGGATTGACGTTCATGCCAGTATGCAGGCTTTGTAAAAAGGCATACAAGTCACCGACATCTGGCAATGCATCCTCAGAGCTGGTCCGCCGTGGTGACATGAGCTCATCAAAAACAGCATCCAGAAGCAAATTCAAGCTGACTTGCTCCCTTGATCGAAGGGTCTGCACAAGGGCAGTGTCTTCAATGTCGGCAGGCGTTGTCAACGTAAGTGCGTTGACCAGGGCAACAAGAGGGCAGGGCCCGTTTGCATTCTGGATCAAGATTGGGGATATCCGTGGGTTCTTTGACAAGCTTGAGTCGTGCCAGTGTATGTTTTTAATCTGATACGTCTCGGTCTTTCCATCAATTGGATCTCTGGAAGGTCTCCAAGATGATCCGTCTGTTGGCAGCGTTGGTTGTCTGGGTGGTAATGGGGGCTTCTCAGTTGAGGTTTCTTTGATAGGACTTGTTGAAGGTTCTGATTCTATCAAATTCCAATCATCAGGCGATCCTGACCTCGCCTCTCCCGTGGCCTTGGCTTTTCCTTTTTCACCACTTGCATC